GCATCCTGCCCCAGGCTGACCCTCAGGCTCCTCTCAGGCCTTCTTTAGGTGAGCACGGGCCCTGCCTCACTCCTTAGGAATCCAGGGGCCTTTGAGCTGGCCTCCTGTCAGCCTTCCTTCCTCACGGAAGCCTAGCTGTGATCTGCTGCAGTTGGGTCGGAACCCAGCAATGAGTCTTTCAGGTTTCTTCCCCCTTTTCACTGGAATCTGACTTCCAAGATTTCATGCTCCTTGACTGAACCAACCAACTGCATGACTCCTTTCCCAGGAATGAAAATTTAAAATGGCGGGATTGGGGTGCGGGGAGGTGTGGCCCCATAGTAAAGTGTGCACTGAGCTTGTAGGAGATCCTAGTTTCAATTCCCAGGGCCAAAAATACATACAAAATTAAAATTAAAATTGTCTGGGAAGCATCAAAATTCACTATAACAGTATTATAAAAAATACTTTAAATAAATATAGTATTAAAGGTAGCATTATGTATTATGGATATAGATACATATTATTTATCTATCATAATTAAACTCTAGAACTTTTTGACATATAAAAAGGAGAGAGGAGAATATCAGGAACTTCCACAGCTTCATCACCTCATTTTAACAGGAGCTGTCATTTGTCAATCTGGTGTCATCCATCTAGCACACTGTTCCCTGCAAGCACTTTAAAGCAAATCCCAGAGGACATATGAATTCACTCACAAACACTCAGACGCCACTAACCCTTAAAAGCATAACCATGATGCCATTATCACCTATAACAAAATGAGCAGTAAACCCTTAATAGAACCAAATACCCAGTCCTAATGTTCAAGTTTTCCAGATCATTTCCAAAGTCCCTTTTCACAACTGTTTGTTTGGGAAGCAAATAAGTTTCATACATTAATGGCACCTGGTTGTTATATCTATTTTCATTGAAAGCCACTCCTCCTCTCTGTTTATTCTAAAACTATTTATTTGTCCTAAAAACGTCAGTCATTTTCTGGTAGAATTCCCCCACATTCTGGACTCGTTTCCTTTTGGCGTTAACTAGTTCCACTAGGGCCAGAATTTTCTGTAAACTGTGGAGTTGACTTAAGAGTAAGTAAATAGAATTCCAGCCACATCTAAAAAGTTAAAAGAAATGGGTAAAGTCATTTTTAAAATGTTTTATTTAATGTAAAATAGTCAAGATACTAGCACTTCAAAATGCAATTAATATAAAATATAAGTGAGATATTTTATATTCTTTTTCAATAGTCTTCAAATTCAGATGTATGGACTGGGGCCACAGCTCAGTTGGTAGAGTGCTTGCCTCACATGCACAAGGCCCTGGGTTCAATCCCCAGCACCACACACACACACACACACACACACACACACACACAATCAGATGTACATTGTGCTCTTAAAGCACAGTTCAATTCAGAAAGGCCACATTTCAAGTGCTGAAGGACCATAGCCATACTGGATGGTGCAAATCCAGATGCTTAATTAGACCGTAATAAACAATTGTTATATACAAAGAATAGAGGTTGCTGTTATTGAGGATTCTGTTTTGCCTTTTTATTTATTTATTTTACACAATGCCTTTATTTTATTTATTTACTTTTATGTGGTGCAGAGGATCTAACCCAGCACCTCGTATGTGCTAGGCAAGCACTCTACCCCTGTTTTGCCTTTTTAAAGAAAGAAGGCCTCTTTATGTTACCCAGGCTGGTCCTGAACTCCTGGGCTCAAGAGATCCTCCTGCCTCAGCCTCCTGAATGGCTAGGGGGTATGGGCAACCTGGTTAAGGTTGCTGCATAGTTCCTATTTTAAAGTATGGTATCAACCTTTCTCCAAATGGTTTTAGTGTCTGTTGATGAGCACTTCCAAATCCATTCTTTTATCAGGGATTTCAAAATCATAATTTTCTAATTCTACTATTCCTTCTGCATTAAGTATTAGGAGGAATTCTTACATAAAGATGAATTCTGTATCACCAGTTCTTTGGTTACTCAGAAATGTATCTTACACAGAAATGGTGAAACACAGGCTTATTCCTCTCTGTCAATTCTCAGAGAAATGAGAATTTCAAGCAACCTCTGATAGTGACCAAAGAGGAGGTCTTCTCTTATCATTATGAACTCATGGATTTCTATATTGCCACCTTTCTGTACACTGCAGTCATTATTCAGTCATTATTCTGTTTTTCTTTTTCTTTTTTTTGGGGGGGGGGGAGGTGGTACCAGGGATTGAACTCAGGGGCCCTCGACCACTGAGCCACATCCCCAGCCCTATTCTGTCTTTTATTTAGAGACAGGGTCTCACTGAGTTGCTTAGCATCTTGCTTTTACTGAGGCTGGCTTTGAATTCGCCATCCTCCTGCCTCAGCTTCCCGAGCAGCTGGGATTCTGGTATGCTCTACTGCACCAGGCCATTATTCCTTTTTGATGTTAAAAATTCTGTATCCTTTGCCAACAGGTCTCTCCAGCAGGCTCCTCGGCCAGTTTTGATAGCTTCTGTGCTTTTGGGCACAGTCAGGAGTCTCAAGCTCATTTGGGACATTCCCTGCCCCATCAGGAATCAGCTGCTTCTCCTCTCTGTCTTCTCGGCCTCTCTAAATGAGATCATGACCCAGAAGAATGAAAGAAAAGAAATGAGACGTACCAAGATGAGTCCACAGGACAAAAGGGCAGAGAAGGGGGGGGAGGACAGGAAGGAGGATAGGAAGAGACCAGGAGGATTCAGAGCTTCTCATGGCCCGGCTGGTCCCTATCTCTAAATCTCTGCTCTCCTGAACCTCCGTTTGAGGATGAGAACTTCTGGTGCCCTTGAGGGCAGGTGAAAGTTCAGTCAACCGGGAGCTCCACCTCACCTCCCTCTGCAAAAAGCCCAGAGCGTCGGTCCAAAGCTGCACACTTCCCACCCGGCCCTTCCTGAGCCAACTCCCTGGTGTCTCTGGGAGAACACAGTCAGCATCACCCCAATGACATCAGGGAAACTCCTACTTCCAGCAGTTTCTCCTTCAGCTGCAAAAATGGGCYGCGGTAGACTGGGCGTGGGCTTCTGAAGGCTCTGCAGGAAGCAGAGTTGTTTTCTCAGCCACCACATCTGAGCGCATCTCCTATGGTGGTGGGGGTGGGGGTGGAGGAACTCAGCTGATGTGACCCTTCCCATCCCCTCACCCTGTCCTCCACAGCCATGCCCGACGGATCGGCTACGCAGGGAGGAATCCATGCCATGTGGGGGGGCTCTTGAGAAAGATGGGGCTCAGCACAGAGGCAGGGATGGGGTATGCCTGACATTTCATTGCACTTAAAATTAGGTCAGCTTAGGAGAGCCCCCAGATGCCCACCATACTCCCCGAGTACAATCATGGATCTATTCTCAACAGCCTCCCTTGGCTGCCAGAAAAACTTTCTCAGCTCATTGCCGTTGCTGCCGCAGCCAGACAGCACTTCCGAGCCATTTTCTATCATTGTTAAGCCCCATGCTCCAGCCAGCTGTGACTGTCTCTGAGGCCAGGCTTTATCCTCCCAGCCCCAGAGGCTGTAAGCAGAGCCACCTGACCCAGTGAACCCCTTACTTGTCCATAATGTAGCGGGGAGAGCAGCCTTCCCATCATGCTCTCCACAACTGCCTCCTCCTATAAGCTCACAAGGCACAAGATGCTACAACTCCCTCCCCTACACCCCTTTCAGTCCACGGCAGCATGTCAGCCTCCTTGATGTCCCTGGCTCCTCAGCCATGCTCCCACCCCAGGGCCTTTGCATTTCTGGCTCAGGGCTGGTGTGCAGTAGAAGCAGGATTCAAGCCCAGGCACCAGGTCTAGAATCCATACCCTTCACTATGACACTGTATTGCCTTTTCCCATCTAATGAGTTCTTCACTTGGAACCTTGCCTTTACCTTTTTTTTTTTGAAGAGATGCCCAGTGTTTCAGCTTATTTTTTAACCCCTATGTCACTCACTGAACAGAAGCCCAGGACATCAACAGGAGGACTTCCTGCTATTCTCCAAAGCTCTTCAAGGCAATTGTTTCCTAAGAAACTCATAGTGCCTTATCTTAAATCTTAGGGAGCTTGACCTTTTCATAACTGGAAACCTTTCTCAAAGGCTGTTGATTTTTTTTCCATCAATGCTTTAGAAGGCCCTGTAGTAGGGGTAGCCAACACTGCTATTGGGCTGGGTCTATCTTGGGTGATTATCACATCTACACTTGCTGGAGGCCCTGCTAGCTGCCACAGGGTAATTGATACCTTCCCTCCCCCAGGCACTTTGTATCTATTATCTCAGATAATTATCGCTTCAGTTTATGAGTGGCTATCACTATCTCCTCTTTACAAATGAGGAACCTGTGTAATGACACTAAGGTGTGTATCTAGACCTGATTCCAAAGTCCACACATTTTTTTCATTAAGCTGCTCTATCTTTACGTAGATTATTTTTCCAACYCTCCCAACTCCCGATTTTGGGATCTGTAGTACAGTAAATGCATTAAAATGCAAAGACAAGCCAGGTGCAGTGACATACAACTGTAATCCTAGTAACTAGGGAGGCTGAGGCAGGAGGATCTCAAGTTTAAAGACAGCCTGAGCAACTTAGCCTGAACTTAAGCAATTTAGCAAGACCCTATCTCAAAATAAAAAATTAAAAGGGCTGAAGATGTGGCTCTATGGTTAGGTGCCCCTGGGTTTAATCCCCTTAAAAAAAATTGCAATTGCAAAGACAAATGGCAGTATCTCAATGTCTTAGTAGTAATCAACCCATGCTAGCCTCAGACCACTCTCCCATAGAAAGCTTGAGTCTGCGACCCAATAAGTTCTGATTTTTTTCAGAGTGTGCCACTGGGTTGGATTCCAGAGTATTTTAGGTGATGAGCAACATTTAAATTTTTGATATGTGTTGAAACTCAATCAGCACACCCAACCCATTGTATAAGATGTTCATGAGGATGAAGCTACGACAACTAAAAAAGTCATTAAACTGATAAGGAGCTAATATAAGTGGCTCATAGAGTGTTTGGCAAAAATCGAGACTGAGATTTGTGCAGCAGCAGGATCACAGCCAATAAGGTTTATCTGAGGCTCAGTTATTGCTAATTGAAAACTTTTCCTAATACCCTCCTATGGCAACTTGTAATATGGTCAGCACTGTCAATTTTTGATAGTCTCTACGGAGGCTGATTTTTTTTAAAAAAAATCAAAGCTGTCAACGACACGCATGAGAAATGTATTAGGAAGGAACTGTCTCCTTGTCCTTTTGGCATCCCAAGCAGTGCACCACCTTTAYAGAGAGCGAGCGAGAGTGATTGTGACACAGCATTGAGTTCCCTTGCTAGAATTGTCCATTGCTTGCTTTTAGCATGAACTAAAATTAGGACCATGACTTCCATTTCTCTGACACATTTAAAAAAAAAAAAATCAAGAATGTAAAATACAGAACGTCTTTTCCCCTTCGTGTAGACACCTGGTGGGATTTACCAAAACACTACCTTAGGGCTGCAAGAGCTTATGGGAAGCAGTGATCCACCCCAAGAGTAAACAGTCAATGGAATGACAATTTTCTAGGAAGTGCAGTCTGGCTGCCGCAGCGGCAATGAGCTCAGAAAGGTTTCTTGGCAGCCGSGAGGCCATTGAGAACCAGGGGCTGTGATGAAGAAAGCATTCATCCGGTTATCTCCGTGGGAGTGCCTTCCGTGAGGCATCAGGGAGTCCGCCTGCTCTGGGGATTTCCTTTGGCATTACAGAAAATGATGCAGGGAAGCCTCCGTTCTCCGGAATAGGAGGCCAGAGGCCACCTGTGTGATGACTGCGGGTCAGGATTTTCACTCGTCGTCATTTTCACGGAGGTTGGCTCAGAAACCGGGTGAAATGATTCACTCGCTGCCCTGGCACAGTTGGGAGGGCAGCATGGAACTCGATTTCTAAAGCTGAGCCCAGGAGAAATACACTCCCTTCCTCAGTAAAGACTAGGGAGAGAAGGCGCAGTGGACCAGGGGAATCTCTCAAAATAAACAGTTGCTCCATCCATGTGCCTCTGTGTAAATGGCTTTATGTAAGTGCGGGTTGTGGCGATATTCACAAYGGTAACAACCTGGAGGCAGCTCTCTTGTTCACCAGGGAGAGAGACTGGCTCAGGACATGGAGGTATGTCTGGTATGTGGGATGAYGAAATGCAATGCAGCTATTTTCCAAAGATTACAGCTCATCGGATGTGTGAATTGACAGTGAGCTGTCCAACGTATTTACGTGGAAAAGATAAGTCACAGAAAGATCGACAGAGCAAGSTCCCACTATGGTGTACAATATGAACCTATATGTGTCGATGCGTAGAGAAGGGCCTGGGCAAGAAGCAGGACCATTTGATGAACTCGGGTGGGGTGAGGAGATGCACTTCCTCTCCTTTCTCAGTGTACTGTTCTGTAAAAGGAAGGGAGACCCTGGCCTAAATAGGRGGGTATCTAGGCAAGTTCCCTGGACCTTCTTGGGGAAACTCACTTTTTTGGCCCTTGCTCTGGGACTGGGGAGAATCCAGCCTTGGGCCCCCAGCAGTGAGCCTTATCCATTGTGTGTGTGTGGGAGGGGTTGGACTCACTGTGTCCCAAGGACCAGACAACCCAGGGTGAAACTGAAGCCAGTAGGGCCTGTCTTACCCCTGTCCCTCCCCAGGACCAGGACTGCTTCTTTTCTTTCTTCCATGGGGGTCTGGGGTCTCCACCTTGCACTTGATTTGCTGGAGGGCTCACTGCCCCCAGGGCTTTCCCTTCTTCTCTCCTCTTGCCCTATCAAGGCTCAGTCCTCTGGGAGGGGAATCAATAAAAAAATTCCAGGCCTCTCTGCCAGGCGACTCATTTGCATTCTCACTGGAATTTTCCGGGGAAAACTAACTGGGAACAAATCCATCCATTCTATTAACATTGAATCTGTGAGCACCTCAGTTAGTTCAGATCCTGAGAAGGAACCTTGGCCACACTGATGGATGGAAGATCCCCTGCTGGGTCGGGTTCTAGCAGAGGCAGGTTTGGCGGAGGGACTACAGACAAGGGGCCAGGCAGGTGCAAAAGATGTTTTAGGGGAAGCGAGTTTTCTCTAAATGATCAAAGCAGACCAAGTAGGCTCTGTCCGGGGCTGTAGAAAGAAGCCTGGACTTAGGGACAGAAGCACTGGACTCAAATCCCCACCTACCAACTGGTGGCCTCAGGCAAATCAAGATATCGGAACTCTCATTTTCCTCATGAGTAAAACAGGGATTTAAAAAAAAAATGTCTTTAAGCCTGGCACAGTAGCACACATCTGTTATCCCAGCGTTTTRGGAGGCTGAGGCAGGAGGATCATGAATTCAAAGCCAGCCTCAGCAAAAAGTGAGTTTTTAAGCAACTCWGGGAGACACTGTATCTAAATAAAGTACAAAACAGGGCTGGGGATGTGTCTTAGCGGTCCTCGAGTGCCCCTGAGTTCAATTCCCAGTACCTGCACCCACCCCACCCCCAAAATGGTGTCTTTATCCTAACCCATGGGATTCTTACCATATTGAATGTGCAATAATTTGCTTTCCACATTGGAATGTTCAAAGTGCATGKTATTAAGATGTTCACTCTTTTTTCTTAAAGGCAGCAGTGTGGCCTTTCACCCAGGCAAAAGTGTGGCCCTTCTGCCTTAAGAGATCAGCCCCATGATGTAGCAGGTTGGCATAGTGATCAAAGGAATGAGCTCTGAAGCCAGGCAGCTGGGGTCCATTCATGACCTTGGGCAGCCCTCCAGACCCCAATTTTCTTGTTTGAAAATGGAGATGATAATCCACAGAGGCCCGATGAGAGGATTTGTTACTTGCAAAAGCAGGTGAGCAGGGCCTGACTGAAGTTGGCCCTGCGTGAATGATGGGCAGAGGCCACTGAAGAGGGTTGAAGGAGCTGTTCTGGCCACTGACTCATGCATTTGACAATAACCACAGCTGGGTGGGGGTGCACCACCCGCCCAGGTTGCAAGAGAATCATTTCCTAAGGAGGAAACTAGGGAGGGAGCCATGGAGGAGCGATGCATGCCTGGCAGTCCCTATCACACTGATTCTCCCCGATTACGGCATTAGCCACAGATAAAAACGGTCAGATGCCCAGATATGATGCTTTACTTYTTTATTTTTCTGAAACAAGAATGGGATCTAAATGATAAAACTACCAGTAAGTATTTTAAAGGGGCAAAGGAAGGAACTTCAACAACCAGTTTTCAAGATAAATCAAATCAGTAGAAGACGACTATTCATAAAGTTACGAAGCTCCCAAATTCTGTGAAACTGACTGCCTTCCTGCTAATCTAGGGTGGAGGAAGGAATTCTGGGAATACCAGGGGCTTCCGGTATCATTCAAATAGCACTGGCATTGCATCAAGTCACAGACAGAGATAGGGGGGAGCACTAAATTAGCATCATCTACCCTCCAGCATCAGTGATGAGGGGTGCATCAATAAAGTCTTTGGGATTTCAGAGGAAAGTGGGGGTAGTGGGGCCCGAGCTGAGCAGGGAGATTCAAGGGAGGGATGAGCAAGTCAGAGAATGATGAGAAAGGAGTCTTTAATATTGGAAAAGTATCCATCTCAAGCCTCTTTAAATTSGGTATGAGATGGTCTCTGTGTTAGACAGTGCTTTTTTGCCACCGTGACCAAAATACCTGACTAGAACAAYTTAAGAGAAGGGAAAATTTAGTTTGGCCTCACAGTTCAGGAATTTGGGTGCATGGGCAGCCAATTCCATTGCTCTTGGCCTGAAGTAAAGCAGAACATTGTCCTGAAGAGGTAGAGGAGGAAAGGTGCTCAGTTTATGGGAGCAAGGAAGCAGAAAGAGAGAGAGGGGAGAGAGAAAGTAAGGASTCAGGGACAAGAGGTATTCCTCAAAATCATAGTGATCTGCTTCCTGCAGCCATGCCCCACCTGCCTACAATTATCACCCAATAGTCCATTCAAATGACTAATCCATCAAATGGATCAATCCACTGACAAGCCTCACCTCTGAACATTGCTATATTGCCTAACACATGAGTTCTTTGGGGGTCATTTTTAGAACTAAGTCATAATAGGGTGGAAGAAAAGAGAATTTTAACTTAACAAAGTATTCTTATGGCTGAGCATRGTGGCACACACCCGTAATCCCAGTTGCTCGGGAGGCTGAGGCAGGAGGTTGCAAGTTCAAAGCCAGCCCCAGCAAAAGCAAGTTGCTAAGCAACTCAGTGAGACCCTGTCTCTAAATAAAATACAAAATGGGCCTGGGGATGTGGCTCAGTAGTTAAGTGCTCCTGAGTTCAATCCCCGATACTTCTTCCCTACCAAAAAAATCAAGGTATTCTTATGATAGAGATTTAGTGGGCCTGGGTCTCTTGGCCAGAGTAGAACCATGATCTCTCCACTGACGTCCTCTTCCCTTGAAGCTGGGGGCCTTAGGCCTTACAACACCATGCCTAGAAGGAGAGGCACAAAGTCAGACCAAGGGTTACAGGTTGAATGGGTGTTCTGTACTAGGACTCAGCTTATTTTCCCAAAATAACTTGTTGGATATTCTAATTGCATCATATGCCTTATGGGGACAGTTCAAAGCATTCACTCTAACATCTTTGTGAGGAGAACATTATATACAGACGTGTGTGTGGCACAGCCTCATGAGATCTGAACTTTGCTGTTTTTCTTTCCTTTTCCCYTCCTAGTCAGAAACTAAGTGTGGATGTGCATTTTTAACCCCCAAAGAGAAATTCTATACAAGGGCAAAATGTAGGGGCCTTTGCAGTTGCAGGTCTCACTATGATTCAAGATGGTGCAACACAGCTCTGATGTAGCTGCTAGGGGCTCCCTGTGACAGACAGGCATGAAGTTTAATCAGGGGCCACTTTTCTGTCAGTGGTGGCCTTGAAGTTACCCACTGGAGAGAGTTCCTTTCACTCAGTCACGAGCCATGAAGTAAGTCAAGGGTTTCAAGGTCCCCAGAAGACATTTCTGCTGTGAACCTGTGAATGTGACTTTACCTGGAAAAAGGGTTTTGGTAGATGGAATTAAGTGAAGCATCTCGAGATCATTCTGAATTACAGTGGACCCTAAATCAATGACAAATGTCCTTATAAGAAAGGAGAAGGTGATGTGAAGGAAGCCCAGAGCAGAGTGATGCAACCACAAGCCGAGGAATGCCAAAGATTGTCATGAG